TTAAAGGCCTTTACAGACGGCCGAATCAAGCAACGCGATTGGTCGAAACCTTACTGTTACGTTCTATGAAAAGTGTGTGTGCCCTGCTTTAACGGGATTATGTACAGAACTATGAACGCGTGAAGACCAGCTGCTTTTTCCGCTAAATATAACCAATAATAATCTTTTCTCTGTCTGGGGGACTCTGGTTTCCCTTCAATTCCAAAAAAAAAATTTCTCTGTCTGGAGTGTCTACGACGGTCGTATATGTTAAGTCCTGTCTCTCGCTCTGGAACATTCTCGCGATCGTCTCGCCGTTGCCCCATATTTTCCGGCTCTTGAGGTCGTATTCTTCAGGTTCCGAGTAGTCGTTGACGGGAACGAAGAAACGCTTGTTCCGAGGAAAAACGCACTTGCACTCGGGACATTGTACTTTGTATACGCTGCGCTTATCATCTCCACGCGTAATCTCCCGTACAGAGCTGTACGACCGTGCCAAACATCTTCGGAACCGTTTTTTTGTTCTAGCGATCGCATTATAGAGAATACATCTGATGAATCGGAGGATGAATTGGCGCGAATTCGCGCGCGAGCCAAGTTTCCAGATACAACCAGATTAGAGGTGAGTTCAACCGTGCACCCGATAATCTAGTTCTCCGGTTGAACGCGCGGTCCAGTAGTGCATTTGGAACGGCTCAGGCAAGAACGCGATTATTTTTTGTTATTTTATATATTTTTATTTGTTACTATTTTCGCTCTCCTTCATCTCCTTGCGCCTTGAATCTCTTGAAGAATTCTCTGGATACCGTGTAATATTGCGTTATATTGCTTTTCAGAAAAACGACATAACTGTCGTCACCAAATATACCTCTGGAATCGTTGATCAGAAAAATACGTCCATCACACCTGTAATACAGAGGAGAGCCGTCAAGCCACATGGTTTTAGTGTTAATGAAAAATGTAGGATAAGTAATAGTCTTTTGCCGAATAAGCAGCGCTTTATACAGGAATATGGTTCGAAGGTATTCTGTGGTTCATACTCCAAGAATGGAGAGTTCTTCGTCACTGCCACACAAGGTAGATTTACATCTATTTTCTCATCTATGTGCTGTGGATTAGTACAACCTTGTACAAACTTATCACATAGTATGGTTATATGATAGCTTGACTGCTCATATCAAATACTCCTGAATTTTTGCAGATAAGTGGTTGTACATATATCGGACACGCAATGGTAATTTTACCTTGTACAGTCGGATGCAAGCACATGATGTTGGCTGGAGTGTGCTGGACGTAGCGTTTAGTCCAAACGGTGAACATTTTGCATATTCGAGTTGGGCGGACTGTTGTAAGTGGCATTGTTTTTAGGCATTGTGCTTTTGCAATCATGTAATGGTAGATCTTGTACAGTATGCATTCTCTCGATATTTTTTACAGTATATCAGTGCAATGTATCTGGAGATTCACTGGACACTCTACCATTGTCCCCAGGGGTAAGGCGATTTTGTGTTTTTTCCGTAGCCTTTTCAAGTGATGGCACGGAAATCCTTGGTGGCGCCAATGATCAGTGCCTTTATGTATATGATCTTGAGTGCCAGCAGCGAATCTTACGAGTTTGTAGAATTATTATTTAGCGAAGAAAGCACTTTTGCCGTTCCTTACATTGATATCTGTAATAATTTTTATAGTTTGAGGGTCATGAAGAAGATGTAAACAGTGTTACTTTCGCGGACGATAGCTCGCAGATCTTTTATAGCGCCAGCGACGACGGATTATGCAAGGTATAATGCCGCCATCCGTGAGACTGCTCTATTCAACGCTATAAGTCAAGTGTCGGTGTATTGTGAAAGAAGTCGATGCGCACTATGATACTCTACTATGAACCGACGTGCACGCGACTATCCGGGAAGTCCTCGCTCTGTGTATTACATCTTCAATGTCTTCCTGTCGGTTTAGGTATGGGATAGGAGAATGGTAAACGAATCTAATCCGCGTGCGGTTGGAGTGTTGGCCGGTCATAGAGATGGGATCACATACATTGACTCACGCGGCGACTCACGGTATTTTATAACCAATTCTAAAGACCAATCCATCAAGTTGTGGGATTCGCGCGTGTTCTCCTCTTGTAGAGCCCAGCAAAATGCTCGCCAGCTTATCGAGCGTCAGGATTGGGATTATCGATGGCAGCCTGTACCTCAACGATGTAAATATTTATTTACAAGCAAAAAAAAAGGAAACAGAAGAATAATTCTTAAAACAACCATTGTTTTTACCTCTAAATTATTCAGATACATCTGAAACGTCTAAGGTGACAATTGATCTCTATTGTCACACACTATTACCAAATACATACGATATTTTCCTGTTTCAGTATGGGAACGGGGCTTCTTAGAAGGTGATACTAGTGTGATGACGTATTATGGTCATTCAGTCCGTAAGACTTTAATACGTTGTCGCTTTTCGCCACCGGACAACACTGGTCAGAGATACATTTGCACGGGGGATTCGACAGGTCGGTTTATCAGTAAGTTCCGAGTGTTACTCTCCGCTTCTCTCAGTACACGAAACTGCCGTAAATGAACAGGCTGATTATGTTTCCCCTTTTTTTCTTATTCGTAGTATATGATCTTCTGACGGGAAAGTTAGTACGCAAGATAAGAGGTCACACGGGATGCGTGCGCGATGTTAGCTGGCACCCTTTGGATTACAATCTCATTACCTCGTCTGTGAGTAAAATCATTTAACCGCAAGAACGTATCTCATACTTTTTGAACGAAAGAGAAATCGCAATTGGAGAGTTGTTTGTGTTTTTGCTCGAAATTCGTGTTCATGAGAAGAGAAAAGACTACTTTAGATTATGCAATTTTACAGAAAAGAAAATTGAAAAATCGTGGAAAGTGTTCCTCTGTCAATAAAATTGTCCTATAGTATTTTTACTGTTTCATAATGATACGTAGAACTTATGATGCTTACGTAAAACTTGCATCTCATATGTGTATATTATGGCAATTCAAAGTTTCGGTATCTTTCAATCCATGATTTAAGTGAGATTACATGCGTCGTTACGATAAGATAGGTACGCTTAAATATAAAATTGTTTCGTGCTTGTAGTGGGATGGTAAAATAGCCAAATGGGAATATTGTGCAACCCATGATGCGACGAACGAAGATGAGCAGCGACCTCCGCTACGACGGAGTAAGAGAATAGCTGCACAAAGAAGAGCAAGGGCGCTCAATGTAATATGAGGTTTTCCATTTTCTATCTTTTTCCTTTTCTTTTCTTTTGAAGCAAATCTTCTGTTCGCGATATTGCTTAGAAAAAGAGAGAATGGGGAAAACTTCTATCAATCTTTCCCAGATGTACATTTTTGATGCGATTCTTCGTCAGGAATGTAAATAGACATTGTACAAGACTGAATGACGAATGTGATTTTTATATCCGTCTCTGTCGTTGTGTTCGCATATTTTGCGAGATTCTCACGATCGATTGATTTTCTTCGAGCCGTTGGTATAGATTGAGTGAGAATCGCTGTTCAATCTGAAACGATCGACACAAACTTATGTGCACCACAAAATTTCTTCCCTTTCTTTTTACGTTATAATAAGTATTTTATATCGCGAAATGTTCTAATTGAACAATCGCTATCTAGTTTTTATGGAATCTTTGTTAAATCTCTCTCATATCTTATCTCAACAAACATCACATTTTGATAATTGCGATTAGTTCTTATTTTTTATAAGGAAACACGCAAATGTCATTCTCTTCTGAGTTTTATATATATATATATATATATATATATATATATATATATATATAT